CCATCCCCACGCTTGAAGTATTCCCTCCCTAGCCCAGCCCAAGTGACAGAACCAGGTCTTCAAAGCCCTTCGGAAGGCCAGGAGTGAGGGGGCCAATCACACCTCGGGGGGCAGAATGTTCCAAAGAGCATACATACTAATAATTGATATACTGCTGTGGCATATAGAACAGCCACATAAGGACTCATTCAGACAGCTGTTTAATGTCCTTCCCTCCTGTTCTTCAATTGGTAGGAAAATAAGTGGACATAAATTGTGCTGCCCTAGTAGTTGAGCTTTATTGTGCTCAGTAAAGTTTTATTGAAGGGCAGTTTCACATCAGGGATTTGTAGATTCCCTGATGTCCTGATCCCACCCACTCTGGGTCATCTAACGGTCGGAAAAAGAACCACCAACTGTTCTCTTGCTTCATCTTTCAGGGTAATGGCTTTTAAAAGTTCAAGCCTTAATTTTTAATATTTATTTATTGATCTTTCAATCTTCTGGACAATGTGGAAGATTGAGAGATTGCAGTTCCACTCAGAGACAATGCTCAAAGTCCCCCCCCCCTCTATTTTTAAAAGAAAAAATACAATATAAGCACAAAAGGAAAATGAATGGTGAGCCCTAAGAAATACCAATAATATGGGCTGGCAGAATGAAAGAGTATTGTCTTTGTGGCTTTAGCACTAGAAAAAGCTATCTTTTAAGAATGGTATGTAACTTGCTGGAAATAAAGGAGCCCCATGTGTGTGGCAAAAGGGGACAGTGGTGAGGTGTTGAGAATTCCACAGACAAATTCTTTGCAACTAGGGGAAATAAGAGGATTTTCCTACTCCTGCCAGTATGTTCCAGGAAACCCCTGATTTAGATCAGCTCTGGATACTCCAGCTTTTCAAATTCAGGCCAACTCTCAGAACATTTGACAAAAATAATAACCTTGTCACTGCCACTTCTCTTTCCTGCTCCCACTAGTGAAGAACCTACATGAAGAAACATTCTGGTCTTCAGGAAAGCTGTAGAAAAGTTTCATCTCGAGCACTTGCCTTCATTGAATAGTGGGATATTTCGGTTCTGTACAGAGATGCATTCTTTGCTGGTTTTGCCTTCCCTTATTTCTAGGGCAGTTTTTCTTCTCCCCTGTACCAGGTTGGAATGCACATTTTGCTCTTTACCCAAGCACCTTTTCCATGATGTTGGACTTCAGCCCCTAATTTGGGGTGACTCCAATCTCTCTTCTCTCCTTGTCCTGCTTATTTTGTACTGATGCACAGGCAGAATGCAAGCAAGCAACCATTTTGCCTAAAAGTTACCTGAACGGCTAATCTAGACTTCTAGATTAACAAGCAGATCTCTCTCCTCTGCAGTAATTTTGATTAATTCTGATGAGATCTGATAGGGATTTGTAGCCACAAGCCAGCAGCTTCATTCAGATTCTTTGTGGGAATAATCCAACTAACTAGAACAATTGTTGAAACTACCCCCATCTCAGGCAATGAAATAATTTTCCCATGGTATTTCAGGAGGTCTTGATCTACTGCTACTTCACATAAAGCCAATTTGATCAGGCAAAGAGCCTCTTCCTTCCCCCACCTTTCCACATTTACATTTGTGTATCTGCGTGTATGTTTCATACACTTTCCTTACTTTATGATCTTCCCAATGCACACACCCACCCACCTATCAACCAACCAGCCACATCCTAAAAGCAGTAGTACAATAGTAGTGATTCCACCCAGCAAATTCCACTGAATTATCAGTATACCCATTAAAAAAGGAAAACAAAAGTAATATTAATATTTAATATTAAAATCAATATGCCCATTAAAAGGAAACAAAAAACCCCCTTCCATTGATGGCAGTGCCTAGCGACTGGATGAAGAAGGTTATCCTTGTAGCCACCTCAAGTGGCTAACTGGAACTGGGCAGATTCCTAACCATGACATTACATCACAGTATTGTCACTGAGTTGCCTTAGATTATCCACATGGTAAGTTTTGTGTTGGGGGAAGAAGGAAAACATCACTTTCACACTAGGGCAGCTAAATATGACTTTAGTCTTCTTCTGGAGCAGAGGACATGTTCCTTAAAACAATTACTGAGTCTTCTTTGTGTTGCAGTAAGTGGGAGATGAGGATGAATCCTAAGATTTCTTAGTCATTATTTCTTGTATGCGTTGGTTTATTATTCTTTTCTTTCTTGGTATGCATTGGTTTATTATTCTTTTATTTCAGTGTTAAAGTATTTAAAAAGATTATTAGGATACAATGGCTATTGGCTAAAATCTAACTTGTGTAATTGTCTTTTCAGCATCTTCAAGGTTCTTTTAATAGCTAGTCAGAAGCAAATCTGATTAAACAAAAAGTGACATTAACAACTTACAATTTACAATTTAGCAGTTTTTTGTATCACTAGCAATTTGCCACATAGCACATTGATTCTGAAATTTGACTTTCTTGATTTTTGCCATCTGCTTGCAATTTAATGGCTATTCACACTTGCTTAATTACTAAGACATCCTATTTTCTCAGCATCAGTGGGGGGGGTTTTGTAAGTGAATGTCAAACACATAAAGTGGCCTCTGAAATAACTACAATTTAGCTCAATTTTTATATTCTTCAGGTTACATCCCAGTTCTATATGTTGCATGACTCAGTTCCCTATACATACTGATTATAAATAAAAATGCAGTTTATATGATCAGAAGAGTAAAATTTATGTAAAATTCATACTTAACTAGTAAAACCATATAACCAAGCAAAATCATATTCAGTTTCATACGAAAAAGAATGTAATGCTATGTCACAGAACATAACATAGCTGCAAAAACACTACATTGAATGCAGCTGAACAAATAACTTACCATTTACCTTCTCACACACACAAATATTTGCATTAGTTCAGTGCTGTTTGGCACATTTCTTATTTCTTAGCTGCAATTTCTCAGTATTTCTCTCGTTACCCTTCAATCTATTTAACTTTATTTGATTATGTTATTGAATCAAATGGATGCCATTTTATCAGATTAAACACTATGATCCTGAAAACTTTATGTAGGTCACCATAGCCAAAATTAAATATAACTGTGGACAAATGAATAAGAGGACACTGAAGGAAAAGAGAAGAAAAATGGTTTAGAGAAGGAAGTATCAAAAATTCCAAAACTGTGGATTTAATATGGACAGAGACATTGGTTTTAAAAATTGACTTTAACTTATATTATTAACTTTAAAAGATTAGCTATTATATCAACTGCAGTCTACAGGTAGTCCTTGTTTAGCAACTGGCTCATACAGTGACCATTCACAGTTATGATGGTGATGAAAAAGTAACTTTGTGACCAATCTTCGCATTTATGACCTTTACAGGTCTGTAAAGCAAAGGAAAGCTGAAGTAAAATTGTAAGCACCATTGCGGTTTCACTTAGTGACTGCTTCGCTTAACGACTGAGTTGCTGGTCCCAATTGTGGTCACTAAACAAGGACTACCTGTACTACATTATCCTTAGCAATAATTGCTAATGTTTTCTATTTAAAACAAAATTTAAAACATATATACATAAAATGCTCTTTTATAATACTGTACATCAATTTCTATGTGTATTGTAAATTAAGAATATTTAGATAACTTACTTTGAATCCATTTTTGTCACCTTTTTAGTGAAAAATTCATCAACACCTTCATCTACTCTTCCCATAAGTCCATTCTGTTCTCCCTCTTGAAGGTTTGCAGGACTCACCTGATAAAACGTACAGCCTTAAGGACGTGGAGGAATTTGTTTAGTGGACATTTTAACATAGGCCAATTGAATTTGCAATTCCCAAATATATAAACCAGAATGCAACCAATTTTTGATTTCCTATACCTACAAATTTTATAATGTCGTTTTAAAATAAAATAACCACAACATTACATGAATTAATATAAACAATATTAAAAATGTTTATATCAAGGGCCGGGTGTGCCAAAACATATCAGCATTTTCATGCAGACATCTTCCAAACTGATCTGTGAAGAGCTAAACCTCTGTTCCAAAAGAAAAAAAATCCATAAATTGAAAAAGGAAAAAGAGAAGACTAAAGCCAACTTGTCTATCACTATTTATACTTAACCTAGAATTTTTAAGTGATGCTATTGTTGTTATGGTGGTTAAAAACATAATTGCCTATTGTTTTCAGAAGGCACAATTTCCTTATGAAGGCCCTGAGGTTATGTGGATATCAAGTTTCTTGAGACATGGGCATTAGTTACATATATATGAAGTATGATGTCTTCAGTAACAGATTAACTCACGGCAGATTGTGTTGGCTGTTGTTTTTTATTCCTTTTAGGCCTAAGTTTAGTAAAATGCTCCAGCTTTTTCCCTTCCTCTGAAGGTAGTTCTGAAATGAACCCAGAAGTCCGTTTGTCCAACCTCCCAGAAGGGAATGGTGGGTCCTCTATGTGAATAGGAACTTCTTCTAATGCTTTGTCAAGGTCAAACTCCATTTCTAAAGAAAACATTTAAAACATACTAGGGTTATATTTCTCTTTCCAGTCATATCTCTCTTGTTAAAAACGTAAAGATTCTTTCGAGTCAAACTCAACTCATGAAGACTGCTTCAATGTGTATAAGTAGTCTTCTTGATAACAGTATGGAAGTGGCTTGCCATTGTCTCCTTGGGAATGTTTTTCATTTTCCCAGTCTAGCTTGCAGTGATCATTTTACAAAACATGGAATAAAAGCATCACTCCCAAAAAATCAAGCTTACCAAAAGCTCTGGATACGGGCCTTAACATTCGGCTATGGATACTCTTCCTTTTAGATTTGGGAGTCATCTAGAGATAAAATGGAAAGGGAACATAATTGCCTTTTGGGACATAAGTAATAATAATTAAATTAACTATAGTACTGCAATGATCAAAACAGCTATGAAAGATGGAGCAACATAGCATTTGGATCACAAGTCAAGGAAACTTAACTAAGCTGTCAATAATCAATATTTATGATTGTAGTGTTGGAAATAGTCCAAACTTGATGTTAAACTTCAAAGTGAAAAGGCAACATCACATTTTGTTTTATTTATTAATGTGGTTGAAAAATGAGCATTACATAGATCCTGCATCTATATTGGATTTTTTTTTTTTTTAAAGAGTGGAGAAAATCTTACAGCATCCTTATTTTTTTAAAAAACTGAAATCTTATGCTAAGCATTGTTTGCAGTCAGGTTACCCTTCAGTGGTGCTTTCTGTTTGTTGATGTCATGCCTCAAACTTAATTACAGGTAGCCCCTGGGTTAAGAACGTCTGGTTTACAGACGACCCATAGTTAGAAGAAAGCCTATTGTAGCAAAATTTGAGTTAAATACACATTGATTTGAGTTAAATACACAAGGTTCAAGTTAATTACACAATACTACTTATATAGTATTATACAATAATACTGTTCCGGCTTACATAC